GAACATATGTTATATATAGTATATATTATTAAAACGTATTTTATATAAGATACGTATCAGTTTTGAAAACAGTACATTGCCAGTAGCTTTGGCATTTGTATTTCTCCTCTATCACATCATCCTTTTCTTTCATTTTTACTGTTTGTATCCACAAGCAATATAAAGTCTAGTGTTACACACATGAACTTTATATAGTTTCATTACACGCACATACACCCATGTTGACGAATGTAGCAATGGTTCATTCACTTGCGCGTCTATGAGAATATCCGTTTCGTGAATGCATTACAATTTATCCATTCCCCTAGTCATGGGCATTTGGATTGTTTCCAGTTTTATTTTGCAAATGATATAGCGGTAACTGTTCTTGAATGGTGTCTCCTAGTGGATGTGAACAACAGTATCCTCACAGCCGAGATGGGGGAATTGTTCAGTTATGGTGTGTGCACAGCTTCAGTTTTACTATGTAACCATCAAATTGATTTCCAAAGTAGGAATTTATCTTCACCACCTTGATATCACTAGATTTTTACATTTCTGCCAATTCAATAGGCTTGAAATGATACCTTACTGTGCTTTTAATGTGCATTTTCTTGATTACTAGTATAATTTATATATTTTCTTTTATTTATGGGCCTTTCATGTGTCTTCTTTTTTGAAATGACTGTTTTCTATTAGCTTCTTTATCTTGATCTAATCGGTTTATAGAATTTATATTCTGGTTACTAATATTTTGACATTTAGATTTTTACAGATATCTCCATCCTTGTCGTGCCTTGTCTTTTCGTATCTTTATGATTTTTTTGATGGATAAAAGTTTTAGATTTTATTGTAGCTTAATAAAAAACTCTTTCTCCTTGTGATTTGTGTGTGCGTGTGTGTATGTGTGTGTGTGTGTGTGTGTGTCTGTCTTAAGAAATTCTTCCCTTCCTTGAGGTCGTGAAGATATTCTATATTTTCTTCTAAAGTTTTGAGTTTTTAAATTTTTCTCTAAAATTTGGTTATTTTACACAAGTCTTTAGTTCAGCCAGAAATAACTTTTGTTTATAGTATGAAGTATAGATCCTTTTTTTTTTTAATCTGGATGACTCGTTGTCTTAATACTTTTATAGTTCAGCCACTGATCACATTGTGACTTTTTACGTATTTCAAGTGTACACATGTATAGTTCCTATTCTGTTCCACGGTCAGTTGTCTATCTCTGTGTCGAGATCATTCTGTCTTCATTCCTATAGCCATAGCTTTATAATGATTTATAATATGTGATAGAGCTTTTAAAAAAGGTAATCTACTTTTTTTTTATAATAAACTCCTGGTTAGTTTTGGCCCTTTGTTCTTCTACATAAATTTTAGAATTCTTTTAAATTTTGTGGAAAAAATGAATTTGGGTTGGAGATGTATTAATAGATTAATTTGGGAAGGAGTAACATCTGTATAATATTGAGTATTCCTGATCGTGAATATGTAATATCTTTCCATTTATTGATGTCTTAATACATTTCAGTAAAGTTGTTTTGTTTTTTGCATTAAGGTAATATATTTCTTTTGTTAAGTTTATTAGTAAGCATCTTATTTTTTACTATCTTTTAAGAGTTTGTCTCTGATGTATAGAAATGAAACTAATTTTTGTTTGCTGACCTTATATTCAAAAACCTTAATTCTTATTGTTTCTAATAATTCGTGAAGTCTTTTGGGCTTTTTCCATGAAGAGTCATCTTCTGCAAATAATGACAGTTCTCAGTTTGTCTTCTCAAGCCATATGTTTACTTCTTTTTCTTTCCTTACTGAATTGACCTGACTGAAACTTCTAGTACAATGTGAAACATAAGCGGCATCTCATTTCTGATTTAAGAGGAATGCTTCTAACATTTCTAACATTTGCTGCTACGTGTTTGCTGGAGGTTTTAGACACATGCCCTTTATCAGGTTAATGAGATGTCGTTTTATATACATATGCCTATTTTGCTAGAGTTTTTTTTAAATAAAAAGATTTAAAATTTATCAAATGCAATTTATGTGTATATTATGATAATATGTGTGTGCTTTTTGTTTGTTAATATACTGAATTAGAGAAATCGATTTTCTAATGTTAAACCAAGTCTGTGTTCCCGGGATAACTTGATACATGTCCTAACCTATGGCCTGGCGCTCCCCCCAATCCAGGGTCCCCTGTATTGTGAATATACTCATTCCCCTGATTTGTTGGTATCTCCCCCTCACTCTCCTTCAGGGGTTGCTGTCTTCAACCAAATTATTTTAATCTCATATCGCCACCTAGTGGCACACTTTGGAAATTTCCGACTCGATACCTTCACCTTCTTTAGTACGCATGTAGTTTCCCCTGTTATCACTGTAACCCCTCGTTAATTCTGTTGTCTTTCTTGTACCTTACATTTATCCCCTTCTCTCCCCTATCCTCCTTTCTCTTGCGCTTCCAGATTTTCTCAATATACTTATTGAAATCATTCTCTTTTCCTTCCTTTGCTGGTTTTCCCTTTGTTCCTTTATGAGGATAAATCTACCTTAATTATGGTTAATCGGAGTGAGAGTAGGACTGATGACAAAAGAAAAAAATACAGCAATACATTTTTAAATGACACTTGATACAATAAAGTGCCAACTCCGCTAACCTTCTAAGTCCTTGAAAATTCTTAAAATTTCCTTTAAAATGTTCTTAAATTTCAAGTATTACTTAGTCATCTAATTAATTCTACCCAGTTTAACATCAAGCTCAAGTACTAAAGATAAATTATAAAAATGTTAATAAGTTTCTTTGTTTCTCTGTTTTTTTTATTACTAGCTCTGACAAATTTGGGGTTTCTACTGTATTTTACTGCAAAGACTCAGTTTTTATGGGTTAAACTGCCTGGAAACTGGACTGACATCTATAATGTGGTTTCTATGGGAAACAGCTCACCATGGATGCCCTTTTGGTATATGGCCAATTTATAAGACAGAGATTGCTAGTAACTGAATTTCTAATTGCTTAACCCAAGAGCATAGAAAATACTGTAAGCAATATTCTCCCCACTCAGTGAACTGACACATGGATAAACATGGCTGATTTAGCAGTTTCTCTGTAGAGTTAATCAAGACTTTGTTTTTGGTGTCTCCAAGGACTGTATCTGAGAATGGCAGAGTCAGCTGAAGAAGACAGACCAGAGAAAGTAGGGCTGAAATTGGTCTCTTTAACCACGGCAATGCCAACATGGCTGAAGGAGAGGTTGTTTTTGTTGTTTGTTTTAACCCACCCCCGTCTTTTAGTAGGCAGATATAGCAGAGTATATTGAGAACTTGCTGATTCAAGGATAGCAACTGTTGACTTCAAAGTAGGTACCACAGAGTATTTGGGGTCTATAAGTCTGGTTGGTGCCTGAAAGACATTTAACAGTGCATACATTAATCAGAGAGAATCTCAAACGAAAAGTAAGATCTGTCTTCAGCAGTACTCTAATACTTACAAAGCTTTGATGTGTATGGCTTTGAGATCCATTATTCTTGTGAAACTGTAAAGTTTGTGTAGAGTTGTTGCAACTATTAGAATTCTAACATCTATTTAAAAGGGAGGTTTAACATTAGTCTTATTTCCATATTGTAATAATGGAGATTCAAAAGTAGATTGAAGAAAAAAATTAAAGATTAATAAGGAGATAACTTTGGCAATTTGGTTACCCAGAGACCCTACGTAATCCAGAATGATAAGGTGGCCCTGGCATTCTATACTCTTTAGCTTCCTTCTGTGTTCTTTTGCTAAATGCTTTCTAACCTCTTGATGTCTCTTTTGAAAGGTGGGGACCCAAACTGTATGCATTGTTCCAGATGCGCTCTTGCCAAAACAGCATAAAGCAAATGTAACAGTTAAGAAGAAGGCTCCCTCCCTCATCAGGTAAGTACAACTGGCAGCTGTGGCTAGGCCAGCCCACCTTCTCATTAGACCTGCCATACCTCTCCGCTGGTGGGACCCCATAAAATCTGAACTGTTAATCCACAGCCCAGAGCCTTATTCTGGCCTAGTGAATTCTCAGTCAAAGGGTCTGACCCAGAGCATCCCCTACCCATGACAGCGTCTAGTTTCTCTCCCTCCAGGTTCTTTCTTGCTTTTTTACGTCTCTTGGGCTCTTTGCTAGTCAAGAACATCTTCCTCTAATTTAAATTTTGAGGTCAGATAGTTTATGAAATTGAGATTTTACCTGTAGTCTTGGTGAACTGATTGGACATGCTACTTTAGTCTGTTCTTTTACCTTTGTGAAAGAACCTTCTTGATGTAGAGTGAATATTATAGTGCAAAAGCTCACATGTGGGACACTTGTGTGCTGCTGTTAGGTTTTATTCTTATCTTTTAAAAATACTCAGATATACTTAAAAATGAGGTGCCATACAAATATATTGAATAGAAGGATTCCATGATTGGTTAATTATGCATTGATCTCAATTTGGAAATATTTTAAAATCATTGATAAACATGATTCTCATGATAACAGGTTGTTTTAGAATTCCTTAATTTTGTTGGCAGAGACTATTTTTTCCTATCCCCTTTCTAAATAAAACCACAGCAATGCAGTTTATCTTACAGATCTTGAATGGTTCGTTGGAGTTCCCCCAACTTGCTGATTAAGCCTGCGAAAGTTCTATAAACCTAACTCTAGTTCTATGTGAATATAGTTGAGATAATACCTAAGATGTGGGATAAATGTCCGTTGTAACAATATTATTTTTAAGTTTTTTTCGTGAGAGATATAAAAATGGTCATATATGTTCAGTTTGGGTGGGGAATTTTTAGAAATGATTTGCTTCTTTGGCCTCGAATTTTGGATTGCTCTGAAACGAGTTTAAAGTCATGCAAGAATTTCTGACATTCCACGACATCACCAAAACACTTCATTGTTTTAAACCCACTTGAAAGGCTTGTGACACATCCATCACCATTCTTTCTCACTTGATTTGAAAGGGGTGGAGCATTGTGAATTTATATAATCCTGTTAGACTTATTCCTGATATTTAAGCTAAAATCCTTGGTTAAAACATGTCCTTAGAATTCCATATATTGCCATAAACGATATTCTTCTTAGCTTTAAACTACTTCTTCCAATGCAGGAATTTATGTAACTCTTTCCATTTTGTTTGCCAATTGGTAAAATTCCCCAAATTAAAACTTGCCTGATATTTGGCAGTTTTCCTCATTGATTTTTATCTGTTAATTTTGCTTTTTTAGAGCAAGGCTTTGAGTGAGTTTGACTCTTGCTGCTGTCATCAGAAGTAGAAAAATGAATTTCCTGCATGACTCACTAGAAAAGTCAAGATCAAATGACAGAGATTTTGAATCATCCAGAGATTAACTTATTAAAGGATCAAGGGAACTGGCAATTGCCACATCCTTCAGCTTGAAATGTCACAGAGCTGGCAGCCTTGGAAGAACTGCTGGCCCCCTCCAAAGCTGATTATAATGTTATTGACCCAAGAAAGAGCACAAGGACTTCCGAGTGGTTTTGCAATTCTTTTCCTATAGTCTTTAGGGTTTTTGCATCGAACTCTCATTTAGTCTTCCTTTGGCTTCTGGGATTGTTGTGGTGAGGAATTTGAGGTGACATTTATAGCCATGGACAAGCTGTAGCTGGCTGGTTTCTTCAGGGATAGAATGCCCTACAGCCTCAGGTACAGGCCGTATCCAAATTACTAATCAGCCCCAACGCCTCTCATGGTCGGACCCACACACTTCTTGCTTTCAACCTCCAGGCCTGCTCTTTCTTTGAGGGACTAGGCTGATTTTAGCTTAGGAGGCCATGTTAGACCTGATCCGAAGACCCTCTTTCCTGGACCCCTGGGCTAGGAAGTGGCCCGAGGTGGGAAAGACGGAACTGGTGTAAATACAGTGAGTTCATATGACTCTTGGGCACACATGCCCCATAGGCTGCTCAGCGACTTCTCTTGTGATTCATGTCACAGAGGTTTATAAGACCATGACCTGAAAGGGAGTGTGTTTACATCATATCTACATCATAATTCTGGATCGGAACATTGCGAGGTCTGCTGTGTTCGATTCCCTTTGAGACCAAACATAATTCTAGCTGGGCTGAGCTCAGGGTATTGTCCATGGAATCACTTTTGTTTTGCTGTGATCCGTATGTCATGACATTTCTTCAGCATCCATTCCCCTTCCTAATTCAATAGTAAATTCAACCATGGCTAACAGTTATCTATGAAATGTACCCATTTCAATCAGGGTCATCTCTATTTCAATCCTATTATAGTCACATCTGTTGCATTTTCTTCTTTCTTGCCTAACTTTCTTGTTCACTTTCTCTGTCTTCACACAGGCCCCTGGCATCTGACGTATGGCGAGCTTTAGCATAAGGACCTACCAAGACCTGCCTGATGTTCTGAACATGTATATCCTCCAAAGTCTAGAATCTCAGCTGGAACCAGATGGACACTTGTTCCCGCAACCAGGGCTCTTGCTGATGGTTCTCTCCACATCTCAGTTGATTGCTGGTTTTCTCTTTCTTGCTCTCCTGTCTCTCTCCAAACACCTCTTGATTGCCTTTTCTAGGGACAGACCTTAGAAAGATGGGCCAGGACTTGGGATTCTGCATTGTACCCTGCAGTCCCAAGCCAGCATCCACTGCACCCCATCTTCAAGGCACCAACCCCCAAATAGATGCTTGAAGGCATCAGCTTCTGAGAGCCCACTTTTCGTCTGCATGACTAGCTTGTAAGGAGGGATATATAGAGAGAATTTCCAAGAATTTTCCACTTTTTCAAAAAATGTATGTGACTTATTTTTGGCTTTGAACTGAAAGCAGATTCATGGTGTACATCTCTGTCTACTTGTGCACATCTGTGAACTCTGGAGAAATTGATGCAACGTTCTCCTTCCTATCTGGGCTGTTTGTATAATTGTATATAAATGTAGCAATAAATATATTCTAACACCAGCCTGGTATTACTCTCCACTTGATTCTGCATCTGATAGTAGGTAGTAACTATCACATTCTCAGCTACCCTACTGACCAGTGGGGCTTGCCTTCCCCATCTCAGGTTTTCATCTTCTCTGATTTCACAAAGTGTTAGTTTGCAGTTGGCCAGTGTTTGGAGAAAGAAGGTTGAGGAGTATTGTGGCAGAGCTGGGAGTGAAGCAGCATTATTAATTCACTAGGTGGCACTATTCCTGGCACTCTGAGGTGGCTTGCATGTCCAAGGACTGAAGCTTAGAGGACTGGGTGACTGACGGTTTGTGACATGAGTACTACCAGCTAGTTTACTAATCACTCTTACATTCTCCAAAAATTTATTATGCTGCAATTATATGGCAGGTACTTACCTGCCAGGCACAAAGGTACCCTTTTTTTTTTCCCCCAGAAAAACCACATAAAACATGCCAACATGATATTAAATTTTTTATCTGTCCCTGATGTTTTTCAAGGGTACTGTCTAGTTGTTTTAGAAACAGTGTCCTCCTAAAGGGGGACGCATGAGCATATAACCTTTTGTTTGGCAGCAATACTGTTTGTCTAACATCAAGGAATATTTGTTCCCAAATTGGTATCATAATTTACTTGAAATCTTTGGTTATTGGGCATTTTTTATCACTTGAAAGATAACCACATACTTTGTGTGATTTCCTATTAAATTGCTCTCTCTCAGGCCTCTCTGCCTTTATAGTGGAAGTTGGTGGAAAACCATTTGGCCATAGAACCCGGGAATGCAGTGGAGCTGGAAGTTGGGTTTCCTATGGCAGAGGTTTGCGAGCGGCACCTGAAGAGATAACTTTTTATGTATTAAAACAAGATAGACTGGAAGCCCTCGAGGAAACCATCAGGTTGAGCTCTTTGAACCACTGATCAGACAACTGATCATGCCAGGTCGGTTCTTACTTTCACCTTTTAGTAGGTTCATCAGACAACCTGAGGCTCAGGGTCCAGAGTTAAAGAAGGCACACTGCAGGCCGCTGCCTTCCACAGCAAATACCCATGTGATAGCACTTGACACACTTCCTTCACATAGATTTGTCTGGCCAAGACTGGCAATACAGGCAGAAATGATTTGAAAAGATACATGACAAATTATCAGTGGCTTCTTGTTATAGTGTGGCATAAGATAAGCTTAGTTATAGATAACACTATACAAGCAACAGTTCCTAAGCTTGTTTATGGAGCTGTGGAGGATTGAGGGTTTTCAGCCTGCGGGTGTTAAACCTGGACGTGCGTTGTGGCTCTGCCGCTAATTAGTAGTTAGAACTTGCACATGTCGCTGCAACCCTCTGATTTGTCTGTTGGAAAATGAGGTGTTTGGACTAAATGGTTTCTAAGATCTTTTTTGTTCTTCGAATCTCTCTCCCTTTGGGAAAGGGAAAGGAGTAGCAGACTTTTAATGCTAAAAAGGAAAGTCATGGGATGGCAAATATGAGCAATTGAGAGGCAGAAAAGAGTTATGAAGATCATTTATTTATTTATTTATTTTTTTTAAAAAAACAATCCCACAGCATTTATTGTTATCTGCTAATAACATAAGGGAAATCAAAGCGATATGAATAAATGTTCATGAACAAAGTATACCTAAAAAACACAAACTCTATTGCCTTCTCAACAATTTCTCACTTCATCAGTCATTTCTAGTTGGAGACACTTTGGAGCAGAGTAATATTATCTCCTTTTAGCATGATCCAGCCCACCTGTTTTCTTGACTTTGTTTTAGAATGAATCTCTTCTGCATCATCTAATACGAGGTTCATATACTCATCAAAACCAACGATACAGCTTTCTATCCTCATATTCACTTGTTCATAAAGCCACACCTGAATCTGAGATCTATTTTGCAAGTATCTGAAGATGAGGTTGATGGGCTGCACCATCACCTTCTGCACTTTTTGGCCCTGGTCCTGGACATCACCTGGTCCAACTCCTTCTGAGGAAACAATATATTCAGCTCTCGCTCCCCTTTCGCATCTTAGCGACTGGATTTTTTCTTGGGGTCTGTTCTGCCAAGAGCGGAAAGACTGTAGTCTACACTTGCTGGGACAGGTGGGTGGGATGTTGAGACCTCGGAATAAGAAGCCACTTTTCTTCACGAACCGCCCACCCAGCCACGGGGCAGCGCCGTGAAGAGTGCCCCCTGACCCTTATAAACTGTTGGACTTCAGTCCTGATCTAGGAGGCAGAGCTGACAGGGGTGCAGCAACCCAGAAGGGAAGAAAGCTGATCACTTCCAGTCAGTAATAATCCACACTCACACTCAAACACGGGGGCGGACAGTTCCCTCCTTCGGCACAGATACAACACTCTAGCACAGCACTCCTGCCCTCTTGGCCAGCCTGCATCCCCTTCTGGGCAGATGGGATGAATTATTTTACTGGTGAGTTTGGAAAAGAGCTGTGTACCAGTCCTTCCTCCTCTTATTCTGTTGAGAGCTGGCTGTCTACAGGAAACAGAGATTTATGGTCTGCTCCTTCATAGCCTAGCAGGACTGGGCTCCCACAGGAAGGGTAAGTCCACCTAATTTGGGGTTCAATATTAGGAAATCAGTTGCCACAGGTATAAGCTGCACTCTCCAGTACTTGCTTTGTCAGTGATCAAGGTGATCTTGACCTTCACCTGCTTATTTTTTGGCTTCAATTCCCAACTGATTTAGCACAGTGGTTCTCACTTTAATGTGCATCAGAATCACCTGGAGGATCTGTTAAAGCATTGATGTCGATGTCGGTTGGGCTCCACTCCCACAGTTTCTGATTCACAGGTCAGGGATAGGGCTCAAGAATGTGCATCTCTAACATATTGCCAGCTGAAGCTGTGGGCTGTGGCTGCTGAACTGGGGACCACAGTGACAGCCTGAGGGAGCATTTGGCTGAGGGAAGGAGTTCTATTTCTTGGTCCCCTCACACTCTGGAACTGAATGTTCTCGGGGCTGTCTGAGTCAGCCTGGCGTCCTTCAGAAAACCGGAGCCGGCAGGCAGTTTTCGGTCAGCATGAGTAAGTAACTCTTACAAATCAATATCCTCTTCTAGCCCACGGCCTTGGGAAGAAACAAATGGTTATGGATTATACTCATTTCTGTTCTAAGTGGAACAGCAGCAGAATCAATGCCAGCCATAAATCAGCCCTGAAATGCCAGTTTAAACATAGAATCCAAGAGATGTGTGCAGTTCTCCTTTGGTAAAACCTTGTAGAACATTGTGCACAAATAAACATTTCACTGAGGCTTTTCAATAATGATGAAGCTAGTGCATTTTAAAAGCCTTTAACTGAAATATAAAATACAAACATTTACAAATAAGTGGACAGCGTGAAGAATCTTCACAATCTGTACCAGTGGAATCAGCGCTAGACCAGAAAGAGAACTTTATCCCCGCAAAGTCGCCCTGTTTTTTTTCTCAGTTCCCGATGCTCCCTCCCTCTCAGGGTAAGTGGATCTTGAATAGTAACAGGGGAGGTATGTTTTACTGTTTGCTACATTACATAAATGTAGCCATTCAGCACGTACTCTCTAGAGTCTGCTTTCTTTTACGCAACAAACTCCTGAATTCTTAAAAATCGCGCTCACCCAGTCTGCCTCGTTGCCGCTCCACTCAGGCCCACCTCTCAGGCCTCTGTTCAGGAGCCGCGCCCCGCCTGCTGCATCGTCCTCCCCACTCCCCAGTGTGACTCCCCCTTACCTGCCAACTCTGGGCCTCCCACCTCCAGGCTGTCCTGTGCCCTCACCCGGTCAGGTGTAGGCTCTAGCATGGTCCCCACAATGGCCCCACCTCAGAGGCTCATCCCTTCCTCCATATGGGTCGGAGATGTTTGCTCTTCACAGTTCTGCCGGGATCTGGTTTTCCCTGCACCATGTGGAACACCAGGTCTCTGAGGCACCGCTGCAGAGCCACAGAGACTGGTGAACCCCGCAGGCGCTTCCAGCACCTCGGCCAGGAGCAACACTGGTCTCTTCTCATATTACTTTGGTCAGAAGTAGTCACAGGGCCACTCTAAGTCACATGGCGCCTGGGGAGGTAGGAGGATATTTGGTGAGCATCACTGTCTCTGCTGCACCAACTCTTTCTTAAGGCCAGAATATGTCCCTCTTTGCCCTTTGCCTCAAGTACAGCAGACAGCAAGGGCAGGGGCCGAACACCTCTCTGCACACAGGCCCGCGCTGACCTCAGGCTGCCTCTGAGGGGCCCTGGAGGCCTGGGAGTGTGTGCACACAGACCTCTTGCACCCTGAACCTCACGTATTTCTTTAGCATTGCTTTTTTTTTTTTTTTGGTTTGGTGGTTGATCCAAGCAAGGTGAAGGCCACCCAAGTTAGAGTGAGTGAGTCATTGCTCTTCCTTGTTCTCACAGTGATCAGGTCTCTGTGGTCTGAAAATGAGACTGTTCTGATTCCAACTCACTTTCTGCTGTGTGACCTTAGGCAAGTTTTTTAACTTCTCGACTTTAATTTCTACCGGCAAAATAACGGACCTCTCTAATATATATTTATTTTTTCTCCTCCAACAAAGTCTGTTGGACTTTATGGTAAAACTGAAAAGGAATCCATTTTCTGTTCCTTTTGTCTTAATGCAGTAATGTTACTCAGGGGTCCTGTTATCCTGGGGTAGCCTGTCCACTTAGCCCAGGTGGACTCGTGCCAAAAAGTGTCTTAAGGGTAGAAATGAAGAGACTTGGTACAAGTTCTGAAAAATAGGGTTACCTGAGGGAATACTATTGTTTTATTCATTCGTTCGAAAACCATTCAGTGCCACCCACTGTGTTCTGGGCTGGAAGGCATCCTGCCCCCCTCCTGCTTTCCCATGTCCCACTTCCCCTAGGGCCAGGGCCAGGCCTGGGTGGCACTCGTTAGTCTTCACTCACTGATAATTCAAGGGAGAACATGAGGCTGATAATTCATGGTAATATTGGGAGTTGCAACTTTTTCCTTCGAGAAAGCTGCTCATGCAGCGAGTCCAGCAGCTGTGTGTC